GTTTCACCTTTCACCTATTACTTTTAATTGCGATCTTATTATTAGGTAACATTCTTGATTTCGCTCATCAACCACTTCGAGTTATAAAACAATAATCATTTGCAAATGGATAAGTTTCGAGGCACAAATTATTGAAAAACAACATTTTTACATTTTCTTCAGTAAACAGTAATGTTGCATCAAAGACATCATGATTAGTGAGGAAATTATTCAAAGAAATGTAATATTGTTAAAAAAGTTAATCGGCCACATTGGTATTTCTCGTTAGTGTAACTCAAATTTGAGCATTTTGCACAAATGAAGTGCAGCTGTCTTGCTATTCATAAATGATCATTTGTAATGAATTCAGGTGGATTTTAAAATGAAATGAATGAACCATTCAGGTGAGGTAGAGAATTGACTGTGCAAGAAGTATTTGTTCTAGTGTAGCATTTACTCATTGCTATCCACAAAGAGCACCGTAATTTTCGAGCGAACAATAGAAGCTTGTGGAATTGGATAGGAAATTAGATGAATTCGAACCTCTCTCATGGTCGGTTCGAGCTGGTCTCTTTGGAGCGATGTGGACCTTTGCTCCTCAAGTTCGTCCTCACATCTAGAATATCTGATTGAGCAGATTATAAGCGGGAACAGCATTAACAGATTGGTGTACATTACTGCAGCTATGCAAATGCTGGAATGAAATACCTATCACACATAATCGCTTCATATAAATGCTTCGGCGCATTGTTGTATTTACAGCGAATTGTCGTCTTTCGGTCACGCAATCTGAGATTCAATATTTTTAGCTGATTACATCGATGAGAGCTTATTTATTAAACATTTATTCAAGACAAATGATTTGATTAAACTCATTCGTTTAGAACGAATCATTCGCATTTCTTTACTGTAGTCTTTGGGATTGCGTGTCGTGAAATTAGTTCAACAGATTTCTCAAACATTATTCAGTTTGCGTGTTATCACATCTATTGTGAGCAACAGATGTTGTCAGTTCGTATGAGTGAATAATTCCTTGTCTCCAATTCATGTGTCACGAAATAAGTTTTGCGTGCGCTCGAACATGCATCTACCTTCATTCGCGTATGTAAACTAGAAATTACTAAATATCATCATGGTGACATTAATACTTCATGACATTTTGAACGTCATCTCGCTAACAATAATATTGTGTGGTAGTTTAAATATAAACTGCTATGATCACGTTTTCATTGTTATACAGTTGGTAGGTCGAATTTGGTGCACGATGCAGCATTTTGATCAGTTATTGTGAACAGGCAAACATATACGTGTGATGAGTGGGAGAACTGAATTTGGACTCTTCGTTCATTAGCATCGATGACGTTCGAGCGAAATTTCATGTCGTTGGAAATCCGATCGTCATGAAATTTCATCATTCTAACAGTTGGATTTTCGACCGATTGTCGGAATAATTCGATCGGAATCCGACCGAATTCAAATTTCAACATTCCGGCAGTCGGAATTCCGATTGACCTTCCAAGTTGTTCGGTCGGGATCCGAATATCGAAAGTTCAACATTCCGGTAGTCGGGATCCGAAATTGTTGGGTTTTTTCGAGCGATCGTCGGCCGGATGCCATCACTATTAATTAGTAGATGGTGTGAGAAAAGGTCGATTCATTTTCGTTTTTGGCAATAAAATTGACTAGCAAATAGGAAGACGAATTATCGCATCGAAATTGTCTGCAATTGCTGGAAACGAGTGATTAATTTCAAAATAAAAAATTTCAGAATACTCAGAATAAGCATGAGATGATACTGAAGGAAGAAGAGGATATCGTGAACCGAGGTATTGACAATGCAACTAAATTACTTGCGTGGTACAATGAACGACTTTGTTCAGTGCAGAAAAGGAGTCGTTTAGTCAATAAAGGAATGGTCTCTCTTGTAGGTTTCCATCTAATTGCTTCGTTTGGGGTCTTGTAGGTTTATTTCTAATTGTTTTGTTTTTTTTTGGAGTTTCAACCGATCGCCCAACTTCACTTGTGCATACTTCTAAAACAATGAAAGAAATAGTAAAAATGTACAATTACTTATGAGCAACCTGTAAAAGTGAATTTGGTATAAATAACAGCAACTCTCATACAAATACCGTTTCATGAGCCAGAGACTCAGGCTTAAGCTCGTGTTTAGGTTCGAAAAGACTAATTCAAGGAACTAGTTTGAATGTGCATTCGAGTTATTGCAAGAACACCGACAATAATTTGGGTTTAGCCTCTCGAATGTAAGTGAATCAACAAATGAAATTCAAAATGGCCTTCTGGATTTCAAATTCAAATNCGGTTGACAAATTCACTTAACAGATAACAGTGTACATTGGGGTACATAAAGTAGAGAATAATGATGTTAATCGTTCTTTGTTGCTGTTTCGTTGTTGAGAGGTGCTGAGCGAACAACTTGCAATGGAATAGTCTCTTAATCGAACAGATGCGATCTACCTTCAACGAATAGAAAATAAATAATAATTGTATGACATTCAATTTAAAATCACTTGTGCACATGAATTATTTGAAGGATACGTCAGTACATGAACAAAAACTGAATTACTTGAGAGCGCACATATCGGAACTGAATCGACGGATGACATCGTTAATGGAAAGCAGCGAACACGGATTCCCAACCCATTCCAATTTACAGGTGATCGTTTTCGCATCTCGTTCCATTATACGTTTTGAAATCAATATATTAAAGCCAGTTTTGATCGCTATCCAAACACTCATTCATCAACTGAAACGAATCTGAATTTGAGGTTAAAACGCAGATGCCGCAGCCGTCTGACGATCGTGCTCATTATTTACAACGACAGAACCGTATGTTGTGTCAGGTATGTCTGACAGTCGATTCATTGTATCCATCGACATTTTGCTATTTGATGATAAAACGCTGAAATTTCAACGATATTTTGAATGAAAAAATATTCCTCTGATTGCTGTTTGTCTTCAAAAAAAAAACGACTCACATCAGATGTTTCATTCAAATCTCTATCGTACGTCTCATCTAACAATAAGATACTTTTACGACTTTACTGCATTCAGTGAGTTATGAAGAAACTGA